CAGTTGTTAAATTATAAACATGGTTAAGTAAATCTGGTTTCCCCATTGACTTTGCTTGTCAAAAGGTTGCAAAAGGGGATCACAAGACTCAGGGACACTACAACCGTCATAAATATGAGCCAGTTGCTAAGTGTTTGAATTTTGATCACGTGAACATGGGGATGCTGCAATGGTCATAAGTGGAAAAAACAGTCATAAGTCACTTTTTCAGTGCAGTTGTGACTTTGAACAGTTATTAAATGAACTATAGTAAGTTGAGGACTACCTGTATGTACAATATTTGCAAATTGAAAAGACTGGTAGGTAATGTCGCTTGTTAGTAAAATGGGCAGCATATACATTTAATAAAGAAATAAGATATATAATGCTAAGTCGTATTGTCCTAATTGAGCTATGTTAAGTTGTGAGTTAATTTTGGGAGAGATCACAAACCCATCAAGCTATATCAGTTCAGACAGAGGCTCACAAGAGAAAGTGCTGTTCCCTTTATAAAATATAAATATCAACATATAGACCAGAAGGTCTACTGAAACAACAATTTACTCTACTATATCCCCATCTAAGGTACCTTGGAGTAGCATTGGAGCAGACTTTCTCCTATAAGTACATCTAGAGAGAATACGGTGGCAAAAATAAATACTAGGAACAACATACTCCAGAAATTATGTGGAACTAAATGGGCAACTTCAGCTGCCACCTTCAGGTCATCAGCACCAGGGTTGGTCTACGCCACAGCAGAATACTGTGCCCTGTATGGCTTAACAGCTGCCATATTAAGTTAGACCCAGACTCAACCACACCATGAGGATTATAAGCAGATGTATTAAAAGCATTCTGACTTGCTGGCTTCCTCTTCAGAGGCATATAGCACTGCCACCTTTACGAAGGGAAGATGCACTAGTGAGAGAATACAGAAAAATTATGAACTCACCCCTACCTGTGCACATCGATTTTCCTCACTTATCAGCAGGAAGACTGACATCCAGGAAGCCCCCACTGGCACTTGCACAGCATCTGCACAACCACCTTAACATCGATTCCCAATGGAAAACCAAATGGGTCGCTGAATGCCCAGACATAGGCAGACATATAAATGACCCCACAAAAAATGTGCCAGGCTTTGAACTAAAACATTAGCAATAGACAATCCTGAATCCTCATGACTCTCTATATAAATGAGGCATAGTATCCTCCCCACAGTCTGACTAGGGGTCCCACATCAAATTGAAGATCACATCACAACCAGCTATAAACTGAGGGCATATACTGGTCCAGTATCTGCTTTCCCCCCCCCCATATAAATGATGCTGAGCTTCAATGATTAGATGGCTAGACATTGGTATTTGAACATAGATCTTTTTAACATTTATATTTTATTGTGTTTTATTAATCTAGGTGAAACATTAATGTATATTGCTGGTCCATGTATGCTGTGCCATACACTAAATAACTACTTTCTTCTACAAACTCCATTACATTTCAGGTGTCCTTGCAAACTTACACAAATCTTCCTTCCACCTCCCAACTGACATCTCTGAACTAGCCATTATTTACATTTGGGAATACTATTTCTAAAGCACGCTCAGAAATTCAAAATGCAGCCGCTTCCGCCAGTTCGGAGTAACTCAATTGTTCGGGAACTCTTACTACAGGTGTGCGGCCTAATTAGGAAGGAGAATTAAAAGAAAAGTAACGGTCCCGGAGGTTTGCCTTCTTTCACCTCTCTATCTTCCTCCTGCAAAAACTGTACGCTTTAAATCCCCCCTTTTGGTCTTGTCCCCCACTCCCCCCCCCAAAAAAAAAACACGGAGCAACTGAAACCTGTTTTCTGGCGCGGCTTTTAAAGAGCAACAATTAGGACCACACCCCTGAAAAAAACGGGGGTCCGGATTTGAACAACCACTTGGCGCTTCCCTTTTTAATTCCCTTCGCGGAGCTGTCTTCCTCCGCAACAGCAAGCCGACAAGTGGAATGACTAGGAAGCGTCTGATGATGTCTCCCGCCGCTTATTGGTTCTACCGAGAAAAGCCATGGCTTTTTCTTCGGCCGTGATTGGTGAGGGCGAAAATCTCCTCTCTCTTAACGCCCGCCTTTTCTCCGATTTCGCTCCTCCTCGTTGTTTTCATGGGGCAAGGCGCGTGCGCTACTGGCTGGCCGAGGAAAAGATCGCGCAGGCGTAGTGGCGGCTTTTGAACTCGGCTGGGGTCGGAGTGCCAGGGTATCCTGTGGCAGGTGGGTAAGTAGGTGAGCGCCTCTTCGGCAGGTGACGAAATCGGAAGAAAGCAGGGTCGAGCGCGCGCTTCTGCCCTGGGGAGTCTTGCGGGTGCTGGGACGCGGCGTGGTGATGGGAAGGGAATTGGCCGGAGTGTGTGGATGATGGGTTGTAGGCGAAGATTTCTACCAGGATGCAAAACCGTATTTCCTTCTCTAAGGAGAGGGCGTATTTTCCTCCAAATAGAGCTTTGCGGTAGAAATGCGAAGAACCCTCTCGTAGGATCTGGTTTCAGAGCCCTTTATGTGTTGAAGAAAGCATCTCCCTCCACCTCCCTCCCTTCCTCTCTGGTAACAGGAGATCCAATCCAGTCTTTAGAACACAATTGCATTCATGACAAATTTGACAAATTTGAAGGATGCAAATGTGTTATTACACTGACATAACAGTTTGTGTACAGTATAATGTGAATATACTCTGTTCACATTATACGGTACGTAATGTATATACTGTACAGAGTATTAACTGAAATTCCCCTAAAATATATTTAAAATGAGTTGAACCCCTAGATAATTATTCATTTTAATATTAGGATGTGCTCCTTTTGGCTGCAATAATATTTGCTTGAAGAATTGTTTAAAGTTTTAAGAATGTGTATATTCCAAAGATGTTATAAAAAGTTGGGAAGTGGATAGTTTTAATATGTGCAGAATTCTATCACTTTTCTAGAATAAAAAGTATACCTATTATTTGTCCCTTAGAGCCAGCATTTATAGCTAGCGAATCATTTATTTGTTTTGACATTCTTAATGGTTGCTGAGTCTTGCATTTTGAAGTTTTGGTAACAAGTGTTAGTTCATCTGAAATATTAAGCCAGAAAATGGTGACTCTGTGTATGTGCATACTATTGATATTATTTTCTGCCCTTCAAACAGAACATTCTCACAAGAAGCTGAGGACCGAAAGGATCTATTTAACAATGATGAATGCGGATATGGATGGTAGAATGCATTTTACTATTATTTTACTTTTATGTGTGTTATAATATTTAACTGTTCTAAAGATTATGTATTTTTTATCAGCTGTTGAGACTGAAAATCAAATAGAATTAGAAGAAAAAACACGACTTATCAATCAGGTTTTGGAACTGCAGCATACACTTGAAGGTTAGTTTCTTAATTTAGATGTATAACTTCATACCAAATTATTTTAAAGATAGAATCTTATTAATAGAGAAAGTAAACTGTGTAAATATATTTGAATATTTCTTTTAATCTAGTGGGATAGATTAATAACAATATTAAGACTAATATTCTTATATCATGACTACAGTATAAAAGCTGTGCTTTTTAAGGAAACTAGAGCAATGTGGTATATTTAAATGTGTCTGTCAGTGTCTTTTGACTCCTGGTAAGTAACTTAGATTACTACAAAGGCAGACAGATTAAGAAGTTGGGATATTGTCGTCCTTGATGGTTTTGGGATTCCAGTACTGAACAAGGATGTTGGACTAGAAGGCCTCCAACCTTATAAATCTATGAAATAATTGCAATAATTTCTGCTCCATTTATGGGTTCAGTTGAAGCTTTCTTTCCAAAGTTTATTAATTAGTTGTGAACCAGAATATTGTAAAGATTACCTTTTTCTAGACAGACCTGCCCTGTTGAGAAATCTTTTAGAAGTGACAGAGGTCATAGGATATTTTTATTTTGTCATCCTGACTTTGGTGTGCTCCACCTGATAATAGATTAGTTTTGGAATTTTTTGTAACTACGCACATACATTTATTGCATGGATTTCATTATACAATTGCCTTTGTATTTTTAATGACTTTCAAAAACTTCAATTTTTTAAAAAAATGTTTTGCCTAAACGTTGGCTATTAAAGACCTCTACATGTCTTTACAGATCTATCTGCAAGAGTAGATGCTGTTAAAGAAGAAAATTTGAAATTGAAATCAGAAAATCAGGTTCTTGGACAATATATAGAAAACCTCATGTCTGCCTCTAGTGTTTTTCAGACTACCGACACAAAAAGCAAAAGAAAGTAAGGCGCTGGTAACCAAACAATACTATTGTATTGCTGCTGCTTTTGTTTAATTTTAAATTACATAAGGCTACATAATACTCTAGTTTGTATCATCATTGAAGTTATGAAATTTTAATGTTAGTTCTAGACATTTTAATTTTTTTAACGAATTGGACAGTACAAGTCAGTAATGTCAGTTTTCAGCAACATAGCATAGAGAAGATATATTTATTACTACCACAGTCTGACTACAAGTGCTTTTGAAAATCAGTTCTGCTTTTATGGTTAATGTCATACATGGCCAAGTACTGTAATTATCATGGTTTTATAGTATTACTATTTGCTAGCAACATAATACAGTGTTGTGCGGAGTGGTATGAAAATACTTATTTGGAATGAATTATTTGCATGACTTCTGTTAGTTTTCAAAAAAGTTGTACATTCTCCATCTCTTCTGCATCCTCCAGGAAAATCTATTCTAATTCTTCCAGATGAAGATATAGTTTAGCTTGTTGAGTGGTGGAAGGTAATTCTTTTAAATGATGGTGTATAATGTATTGCTTGCAAAATTGTAAAGTGGAAAAAGAACACTCTATAGCTTGATATACCACTCTGGAATTAATAAATTATAATTTTAAAAATGTCTTAAAGTTCCTTTCACTTATTGGGCCAGTATAGTGTTGCAATTGATTTAAGTGTGTCCTGTTTACAAAACACTTAGTTACGTGGTAATATCAATTGTGATGATACAAGCTTGGGAAAAGTAAACAGTTAATAGATATATGTATGATTTTCACTAGTTACAAATATACTTTTACTGCATAATTCCTACTAACTTATAATCACATTTTAGCCCCACAGCTGTTTTGCCTTTCAATACTAGAATGAAATTAGGGTTTTTCGAGCATGATACACATCTCTACAAAAATACTAGCTACTACAAAGGTACACCAAATGTCTGTCTCTCTGATACACTTCAAGCAGTTAAAAGTAATAAGGCTCATATATTATACTACTTTTCCAGGATAAGCAAGCAATTTACTTAGATGCAGGTATATGCACAATGACATTTCTGTGAATATATCCAATAAGGCTGATAAGAAATTATCTAATTTTCACTAAAGGTGAGCTATAGGGAATCATTTTATTTTTGCAGACTGAACATGTTTTTGTTAGTCTGATGACACTTTGTTATCATTAAGAATGAAAATTGCAGTCTCAATGGACTTGGAAGAAGCAAGATTTTTAGAACAAGATGTGGAATGGAACGGCTTTGGATTTGATTGGGTTCTAACGGGGGTCTTTTTTGCCATTTTTTAAATAGTAGTTTAAGAATGATGTAATTTCTATCCTAAGCAACAGTCTGCTGTTTTGTAGATAGATGGGTATTTCTGTTTTTGGGAGGACATAAATGGTTCAGAACAGTATTATAATCAGTGCTCATTTAGGAGGAGGCCTGAAATAGGTAGGCAGTATCTTTCAATGAACTATATCTGTGTTTAATGCTTTTTTTCCTCTCAATGAAGCCCACTAGCAATAGCACTGGGTCTTATATCACAGTGCTTTACAGCCCTCTCTAAGTGGTTTTACTGAGTCAGCAATCTGGGTTCTCATTTTACTGATCTTGGAAGGATGAAAGGCTAAGTCAACCTTGATCCGGAATGAATCAAACTGCTGGCAGCTGGCAGTCAGCAGAAATAGCCTGCAGTACTGCATTCTAACTACTGCGCCACCACAGCTCTTACAGAAAGATTCTAGAATTTTTTTCATGCTATTCTATGAGGAACACGTGTTTGAAACTAATTTCACTTTCCTCATTTCCATTAACCTTGTAGTAAGTCAAATAACCTGCTTAACTAGTGATATTCCCCCTTCCTCCATGGGTGGGATGCAAGTACAATATTTCAGATTCAAAAGCAAACATTTAGATTGTGTAGGTTCAGAACTGATCAGTGATTAAGTGCCATCTTACCTTGGTAAAATGCATGGGGATTCCTTCAAATGTTCTCCTTTTACATCACTTTTAATATATTTGAGAAAAGTAGGAATGAGAAGGCGAACTGCTTGTGAATAGTTGAGAGTTAATGTAGAACATGCCAGGAATCATCTAGTCTTAGGGTCATGATCAAGAAACCTGAACTTAGAGACCCTTCAATAGATTAGCAGACACCGATTGCTTAGAATTGATCACGAGAAGTCTAGAATTTGGATTCACTGGTTTTTGCAACTTCAGTGGCAGCTAAAGTAAAGGACTATTTGACAAGTACCCATTTGCTCATAGGAATTGTTTGTATCCAGTTTCAGACTAATTTTGACAGCTAGCAATGTGAGAAAGTGCTGTCTAAAGAGGATTGTTAATGTGATACTGAGTTTAAATGTCATAGATGTGGTTGTTAGAGTGAACAAATCCACCACTGGGCCTTATGTTCTAAAAATGTGCTATCTCAGAATTTATATTAAATAAATATTTTTTGAGTTTATTTTGGTTCATTCTGCTGCATCTTTGAAAATGTTACTTGGAAAATAAACCTTAATAAATATTGCAACTATTTTCCATGAAAGGTGGTAGAGTTAACTGTGTTTTGAGCATCTTGTCAAAAATACTATGTAGCAGTTATGAAAAATCTTTCATATAAATGCAAATTTGCGCAGAATTCAGCTGCAACGTTTTCATTTCAAACATTTAAAGAGTGAATTAAATGTGCCTCACACAGTTACAAACTAATTTTTGTGGCGATTGAGATCCCCAAAGAATATCCCTTACTCAGATAAAGGCCATACACTGATATACAAGCATTCTATTAGTGAAGCTTTATTAGAGATAAGACTTCCATTATTCTGCATATACGCATAATGGTGATTCTGTCACCTAAGCAGTGTTATGCAAATTGCAAATACAGATTAAGAATAAGCCAAAACTATGAAAGAAATGTGAAGAATGGAAAAGGAATAGAGCTAGATCTAGCACTATTCATACCTCTCTGTGCCTTTCTATCTATGGTTTTGCCACATCCCTGCATCATACACTTCATTTACTTTCTTTTGTTCTTTTAAACTTCTTTCTTTTTAAGAATCTCACTCCAAGCACAACTTTCTTAGCCTCTTTTTCTCTCAACCATGCAGGCGTATTCATTCATCTAATTCACATTTAACCCCCTCTCTTTTTACCCACCTGCACACTTTATAGGGGAACCTTATCCCCACTGCATACAATTTATTTTTGATTCTCTTCACACAACTCTTGGATCCCTGTAACGAAGTTAAATCAAAAGCAGAGAAAATGGCTAATTTCCCATTTTTTTAACATTTATGTCTTGCAATAGGCCAAATACTATCTTTCTCCTAGCATTTGAATTTGAATGCATTAAAATTTCTCCAACCATTTTCCTTTCTTTTATAAATATTTTATCTCAGAATATACATTAACCTATTTGCTCAAGCTTTATGCTGCAATAAGTAACTCCGTTTTCCTATTAACCGCAACTGCTTTAGAACTTCAATATAGGTAGTCTTGGCTTACAACCAGTCATCTATTGACCATATGCAGTCATAACAGCCTTGGAACTGATGCTTTATGGCCTGTAAAGCATTTCTGGCTGTCATAAAATGTGTTGATTCCTCAGTCACATGGGTGCATTTTGGTCACTTGGCAACCTGTTCACATTTATGACCTGTTGCCCCGTGATCATGTGATTGCCATTTCTAATTTTCTCTCCTGGCTTCCCCAAAGGGGAAATCAGCAGGGAAGATTATAAAGGGAGGGAACGTTAGATTTGAGGTCAGTTCCCCCAGCATGTTTTATTTTTATTTTATTTATTTATTTATTTTATTTTTGATTTGTCAATCGCTTACAAGATAATAGGTATAAGTATATACATAGTTATGAATACATGAAATGGGTACATATAAGAAAAGTCAATAGTAGACAGTCTAAGGTTAAAGTTTTTGGGGTTTGGGGAAGAAACCACAGAGTCAGGTAGAGTATTCCAGACATTGACCACTCTGTTGCTGAAGTTGTATTCCTGCAATCAAGTTTGGTGCGGTTAACCTTGAGTTTGTATCTATTGTGTGCTCTTGTGTTGTTATGGTTGAAGCTGAAGTATTCATTGACAGGTAAGTCATTGCAATGTATGATTTTATATACCATACTTAGATCAGACCGAAGACGGCGTAATTCAAGGTTTTCTAGGTCTAGAATTTCAAGTCTGATGGCATAAGGTATTCTACAACGAGTAGAGGAGTGGAGAACTCTTCTTGTGAAATATTTCTGGACTTTCTCAACTGTGCTAATATCAGATACGTAATGTGGGTTCCAGACTGATGAGCTGTATTCGAGTATTGGTCTAGCAAATGTTTTGTATGCTCTAATTAGTAGTGTGATATTACCAGAAAAAAGCTACGTAGGATTAGGTTAACAACTCTTAATGCCTTTTTGGCTATGTAGTTACAGTGGGCTCTAGCACTTAGATCATTAGAGATGAGTACTCCAAGGTCCTTGACAGAGTTTGGATCATCAACAAGGTCTTGACTGTTAGGGATATATACCCTAGCAGAACGTGCAACGGCAGTCTAGCAGACAGGCAGATATGTGAGACAAAACGTTGTAGTAGCTTACACTCAGTAAGACAGATACACTGTGCAAGTTAGTTTTTATTCCAGCAAGAGTTATAGCATAATCAAACAGTCCATATGTCATACACTAAGTTCAGTCAGTCCAGGGGTTATTCAGTTTGCAAAGTCCAGTGTCGAAAAAGAGGTCAGTAAACTTACAATCAATCAGTCCAGTGATATATCTCTTTTGCAGTCAGAGATATGAAGAAAAATCAAACCCCTTTTCTTCTCTCAGCAAACACCTAGTTATCACCATCAATCCATCATTGTCAGCAATCCAGTAAAAGCCGGCAGTGAGCTCTCTTGCTCCCTCTTATGGTGATTTTACAACCGCACCCAAAATACTTGGTTTACAGTTTAAAGTGATACATACACTTAAACTCACTAACATAGTTTATATATATTATTTTACCCAAACTAAGTTAGGTAACCAATGTTATCCCTAACACTATTCAGCTTGTATTTTATTTTCTGATTTTTTTTTGCCAATATGTAAGACAGAGCATTTATTTGTTGAGATTTGAAGTTGCCATTTGTTTGACCATTCTGATACATTGTCAAGATCTTTTTGAAGGGTAGCACTATTGTCTGTGGTATTGAACAGCTTTACATCATCAGCGAAGAGAACACAGTTGCTCTTAATATGATCACAGAGGTCATTTATGTAGAGTATTATTTATGTAGAGTATTATTTATGTAGAGTATTATGTCGAGAGATTTCCCCTCCCCCTCACGCAGGAAGAGAAAATTTCAGGGGCTCAAGGAACAGACCTCAAATTTGGCAAAAATGCTAGCAAACACTGGCATTCCAAACCTTTTTGGAATGAATGTCAGCATTCATCAATAGTATTTAAGTGAACACTATCTCCTCTTCTTGAAAGGGAAAAACACTGGCAAACACCAGCATTCTGAGCCTCCCAGAACAGTGTTTGCTAGCATTTTCACCAGATTTAACAAGTGCTTTGTTCAACAACCATGATATTGGACTCAATTGTGGTTGTAAGTGGAGGACTATACACTGTGTGTCATACTGTATTTGCTTCAAATATTTGGACTTTGAAGCAACACACAGCATACAATAATATATGTGTGTTCACATCCAAACCCAACAGTCCTTAGTAGGCTGTATATATAGATTGCTACTGAAGTAAGATTTAAAATCTAAAAAATTTAAGGACAGTATGATTAAATATGCAGAATTTATTTATTTTTTATTTATTTTTTAAAACAAGTTTTATTAATTTTTCAGAAACAAACAAATCATCATTAACCATTACATACTTAAACCTTTTTCCATTATAAATTTAACAAGTCAGATAAAACCTATAATTCTATTTTAAACCATTTCCATATAAGCATACAAAAACCTCTTATCCAGTTTCTCTTCACTTCTCTTTACTCTTATTCAATTTCATTATTATTATTTCATCTATTTCTTTCTGACTTGGTTACCATTATTCTCATTCTATATTTCTGCAAGGTTTTATTAATTCTCCCAGAAACATAAACACACAACACACAAGACATTAAAAAAAAAAAAAGATCTTTTAGGAAAGTAACTTGGCC